CCTTCTACGCCCTCATCCAGGTCATTTATAAAAATGACAAACAGCAGTGGCCCCAAAACAGATCCTTGAGGTACACCACTAGTAACTGAACTCCAGGATGAACATTTCCCATGAACAACCACCCTAAATCTTCTTACAGCTAGCCAATTTCCCCGATGTCGAGGAGGCCACAACGGGTACAGGGGATGCAGTATACCACATTAGCAGATGTGCAGGTGAACATCTGCTTGATGTGGAAAGTCTTCTTGGGGCCTGGGATGGGGGTGAGGGGGGAGGTATGGGGGCAGGTGTAGCACTTCCTGCGGTTGCAGGGAAAAGTGCCGGGTATGGTGGAGCTGGAGGGGAGTGTGGAGTGGACAAGGGAGTCCCGGAGAGAGTGGTCCCTCCGGAAAGCAGATAAGGGTGGGGAGGGAAAGATGTCTTTGGTGGTGGGGTCGGATTGCAGATGGCGGAAGTGTCGGAGGATGATGCGTTGGATCCGGAGGTTAGTGGGGTGGTACGTGAGGACGAAGGGGATTCTGTTTTGGTTGTTATTGCAGGGAGGGGGTGTGAGGGATGAGTTGCGTGAAATGCGGGAGACACGGTCGAGGGCGTTCTCGACCACTGAGGGGGGGGATGTTGCGGTCCTTGAAAGACGAGTACAGCTAAGATGTACGGGAGTGGAATGCCTCATCCTGGGAGCAGATGCGGAGGCGAAGGAATTGGGAATAGGGGATAGCATTTTTGCAGGAAGGTGGGTGGGAGGAGGTGTATTCTAGGTAGCTGTGGGAGTTGGTGGGCTTGAAATGGATATCGGTTTCTAAGTGGTTGGCAGAGATGGAGACAGAGAGGTCCAGGAAGGAGAGAGAGTTATTAGAGATGGTCCAGGTGAACTTAAGGTTGGGGTGGAAGGTGTTGGTGAAGTGGATGAACTGTTCGAGCTCCTCGTGGGAGCACGAGGCGGCGCCGATACAATCATCAATGTAACGGAGGAAGAGCTGGGGTTTAGGGCCAGTGTAGGTACGGAAGAGGGATTGTTCCACGTAACCTGCAAAGAGGCAGGCATAGCTTGGGCCCATGCGGTTACCCATGGCCACTCCCTTTGTCTGTAGGAAGTGGGAGGCATTGAAAGAGAAGTAGTTGAGGGTGCGGACGAGTTCGACTAAGTGGATGAGGGTGTCAGTGGAGAGGGACTGGTCGGGCCTGCGGGACAGGAAGAAGCGGAGGGCCTTCAGGCCATCTGTGTGGGGATTGCAGGTGTATAGGGACTGGACGTCCATGGTAAAGATGAGGTGTTGGGGACTGGGGAATTGGAAGTTCTGGAGGAGGTGGAGGGCGTGGGTGGTGTCAATGTGGACTTCACAAGCTTCAAAATCTCCCCTCCTCTACCGCATCCCAAAACCAGCCCAGCTTGTACCCACCTCCCTAACCTGTCCTTCCTCCCACCTATCCCCTCCTCCCACCTCAAGCCCCACCCCCATCTCCTACCTACTAACCTCATCCTGCCTCCTTGACCTGTCTGTCCTCCCTGGACTGACCTATCTCCTCCCTACCTCCCCACCTACACTCACCTTTACTGGCTCCATCCCCGCCTCTTTGACCTGTCTGTCTCCTCTCCACCTATCTTCTCCTCTATCCATCTTCTATCCGCCTCCCCCTCTCTCCCTATTTATTTCAGAACCCCCTTCCCCTCCCTCATTTCTGAAGAAGGGTCTAGGCCCAAAACGTCAGCCTTCCTGCTCCTCTGATGCTGCTTGGCCTGCTGTGTTCATCCAGCTGAACACCTTGTTATCTCAGATTCTGCAGTTCCTACTATCTCTAAGGTACATTCCATGGTGGATGAGGAACCCACAGAAATCCTGCATACTTCACACTCTCCAAAATGACTCCGCCCCTTCTCTATCTTCTCTGTGAGTGACTGACTTGTGAAATGTTTCAGGTTTTTCAGTTATCAGTGTGAACTGAATGAAGTTTCCAATTTCTGTCTGCATTCTTTGTTCACTTTTTAAGTATTCCTTCCTCCAACTTGGAGGTACTGTCACAGCCAAAAGCTGGAGAAACCAGTCTGCTTTCTGCGAATCCTTGGTTAGGAATACTCACTTACACTGCCTGTCACCACCCAGTATTCTGTCGTGGTTTGCAGATATTGCTAACTGGGCCAGCATTTACCCATCCCTAATTGCCCTTGAGCTGAGTAGCTTTCTAGGTGATTTCAGAGGCCTGTTGAGAGGTAACCACATTGCTACTATAGGAAGGGAGTCAATGATCAGTCTTCATCATAGGTGGCTTAGAGGATTGTATATACTTGGCCTGCTATCACTTGGTTTTGAAATTTGAGAGATCATTTAATTAAAGAGTTTAAAAATAAACAGAGAATTCAGTAAGGTGGTGAAAAGCTACTTCATTTGGTGGGGGAGATGTTCAGAGTGGGACTGGGTAGTGCCAAGGCAGAACATTAATGTTCTAAGCCCGGTGATTCAGCGTGGAACAAAAAGTGCTGGAGAAACTCAGCAGCTCTGGCAGTATCTTTGAGAGAAAAACAGAGCGAATCTTTTCAGTCCAGTGACCCTTCTGTGAACATTCCAGTAAACACAGAGTTCTGACAAAAAGTGGCTGGACAAAAAAATATTTGCTCTGTTTTTCCGTCTGCAGATGCTGCCAGATATGCTGACTTTTTCCAGTACTTTCTGTTTTCTTTCAGATCTCCAGCATCTGCAATTTTTGTTCTATCCACTCAGGCTGATATCAAGAAGCATTTCTTCACACAAGGACGAGCGGAAATCTGGATAGCTCCTCTCTTCCCCACCCACCCTCAAAAAAAACCAGAAGCTTTTGATGCTAGAAACTATTTGAAAATCTCAAGAATGCGATTACTTAGATTTACACATTGAATAAGATCATCAAGAGATGTAGAATAATAATCAATGGGTTTGGGTTACACATCAGCTGTGAATGGGACAGACTTGCAGGGTTGAATGGCCATCTCCTTGTCTGGTGTTCCTAGATAATGTCAGTGTGGTGTTACAGTACTGACAGGGTTAACTTCTTGAAAGTTTCGCTATCGTGTTTGAAAGCTGCGTGTGTTGCACAACAGAGCCTTTATTGTTGGCATTTTGTTTTCACTCTCCCTCAGCAGCTCGATGTACTGACTGCACAAAGACTAGCTGAACCATGGGCAACAGCTCAGTCACCTGGAGACAGAAAGGAGTGCGCAGGACCTGTATAATTTAAACACGGCCAGCTCCCGGCTCTACACCCTCCTGACCACCAAACTGATCAAATGAGATGACTTGTACTGAGATCTTGGCTGCAAATTCCTCAGAGGTGGATTTTTGACTGGAAATTATTTTGAGGCGTGGGAGTGGGGTCTGGGAACCTACCCCACAAGCACCCAAGGAGGTTTGAGGCTATTGGAAGACAGACCTGTGAAGAGCAATTTTAACAAATCATTTCAGTAACTATAATCTTTGGAGATCATGTTGAGGAGACCCTGAATTATCACAGTTTTGGGGCAAGAATCACCTTTAAGAACCCTTCCTTCTCCAGTCTGATAGCGCAGACCCCTTACTTATTAACGAACTTGGCGCCACACTGTCCTGGACTGCACTTGATGCTGTGGTCTCAGCTTCAGCGGTGCTGACTGGAATCTGTTCTGTGGGAAGAGGGTGGGGGGAGAGGGCTAAGTGGACATGTTGGCAACACTTCAGTAAAAAGCCTTTCGGCAAATTGTGTGTCCTAAATACCAGCCCCCACCCCTTCTGTAAAGAGCACAGGTTCCTCAGAGGTGGGGAGTGGCTATTGTTGGATCTGACTGATGCCACAGTTTGATATCTGACAACAGCAGTGGCGTTTATGGTATCTCTGCACTTGACATGGAATACTTGAATGAATAATGTGCAGAGTTGCTTTTGTGTTTTTCCTTTTCACTTGATAAACGTGAGGACACAAACCGAGGAACTGTGGGAAATGGTTAAAGATCAGCAGTGAGTTTGCCTGAAGAAACAGCGATACCTCTTCTGGCAGAATCCAGCATTATCATGGCAAGCATCATTCTGTCTCACCCCTGAGGATATGTGACAAGACACCGGGTAGGAATCCTTCCCCATCACTTACTTCTGTTGTGGCGTCTGGGTCCCTGCCTTTTGGCTCGGAGGTAAAAGGTAAATCCTCTATCCACTAATACACACACCACTGCCCTAGGTGAGTGTCTCCCCCCACCCCACCCACAACTCCTTACCTCAGGGCTGTGAACTGTCATGGCAGAACACAGTGAGCTCCTGGCAGAGCTGCCACTGGTCGGGAGAATGACCACGCAGGAACGGCTCAAACATGCTCACAAACGGCGCGCCCAGCAGCTGAAGAAGTGGGCACAGTTTGAGAAGGACATGCAAAGCAAAAAGGTGAAGCTCGACAAAAAGAGAAACAAGAGGGGGCTGAAACGGATCTGGTTTCCTGACAACGTCAGACTGTTGGAGGCAGCGTCTCGGAATGACATCGAGGAAGGTAATGACCCATTTCTGTCCAGGGAGGGGGAGGGGACAGGCTTCTGAACCTCTGACCATTACTGGAGAGAGACTGGATTGGTTAAATCTCCATATTCCCTGGAGTTTAGAAGAATGAGAGGGTATCTCAGAGAACCCTATAAAACTTTAACAGGACCAGACAGGAGAAATACAGGAAGGATATTACTGATATCTGGGGAGCCCAGAACCAGGGGTCACAGTGTAAAGATATGGGGTAGGCTATTTAGGATTAAGATGAGGAGAAATGTCTTCACCTGAAGAATGATGAGCCTGTGGAATTCCCTGCCACATAAAACAGTTGAGCCAAAACATTGAATGTTTTCAAGAAGGAGTTAGATATAATTCATAAGGCTAAAGGGATCAAAGGATATGGGGAGAAAGTGGGAACAGGGGACAGAGTTGAATGATTAGCCATGACCATATTGAATTGTGGAGCAGGCTCGAAGGGCTGAATGGCCTCTTCCTGCTCCTACTTTCTGTGCAGCCTCAGCGGGGAAGGGTACTCTCTCTGTTTCTGGAGTCAAGGGAATGCCCAAACACATTACAGAACATCATCAAGCTCCTAGCAGAGGCAGAGTGCATCCCCAGGAAGCAATGAGAAGATAATACCAGGGGCATTGAGGAATGGCACTGTTTACAAGTTCAGGGGATGAAAGAATGTGATTGGAGACAGTGCACTATATTATGTTTAATTATAATCAGTACATGATAATGGTTAAGTACAGGTAGGACATGTTTAAATAGAGTTGAGGCTGTGCATTATTGCCTACAGCATGGCAATTACTGTGTGATGTAGACATCATTGGCAAGCTGCATTTGTTGCCCATCCGTAAGGATGATAGAGTTTTTTTCCTAAAGACATTAAGGACCCAGATAAGTTTTTACAGCAATCAACACTGGTTTTGTGGTTACGGTCACTGAGACTAGCTTTATATTTCAGGTATAAACTCTCTGTCTTTCCCCTGAGAGCTGGGTATACAAGAAGAAATGGTATTCACTGGAATGGCCCACTGACTCTTGATCTTCCTCCAACCCTGCTTTCTGTGAGCACTGTACCCCATTCTCCCTGGAACAGCATGCCCTCTTTCTTTTCTTCTGAGACCGCAACTGGGGTACTACATAGAGTACTGGTCACTGTGCTTCTGGAAGGATGTTACTACATTGGAAGCAGCTCAAGGTTTACTCAACTAATCCCTGGGATGAGTGGATTTTGTTTGGTAGTGACTTCCAGTCAGTGCTGCAGTCCCTGTAGATCACCATGTATGGAACATCAGAGTGGCTGCACAGCTTACAGCGAATGTGGCTCTGGAACCATTGCGTCTCTTCCACTCCAGCATTTCTACCGTATCCTCTTTTCCGACTAGACCACCATAAGACGACAAGGTGTAGGAGCAGAAGCAGGCCATTCAGCCCATCGAGTCTGCTCCACCATTCAATGAGATCGTGGCTGATCTGATAATCCTCAATTCCACTTTCCTGCCTTTTCCCTGAAATCCTTGATTCACTCATTAATTAAAAATCTGTCCATCTCCGCCTTGAACAAACGTAACGACCCAGACTGTACAGGCCTCTCTGGTAAAGCTTTCCACAGATTCATTGTCCTTTGTGAAAATAATTTGAGCATACAAACAAGGGAGAAGAGTCGCCACTCAGTCCTTTGAGTCTGCTCTGTGATTCAACAAGTTCATGGCCAATCTGATTTTAACTCCAACTCTACATTCCTGCATATCCCTGATAATCTTTTATCCCCTTGGTCATCAAGAATCTATCTACCTTTGTCTCAAAAACATTTTAAAGATTCTGAATTCAATGCCTTTTGAGGAAGGGAATTTGAAAGACTCTTGACCCTCTGAGAGAAAAATGTTTCCTCATCCCCACCTTGTATCTTTAAGCTCTGACTCCTAATTCTAGATTCTCCCACTAAAGGAAGCATCCCTGCAATATCCACCTGGTCAAATCCCCTCAGAGTCTTTTATATTTCCATTGAGTCACCTCTGTCTCTTCTAAACTCTAGAGGACACAGGCCCAGCCTGTCCAGCCTTTCCTGATAAGGCAATCCACTCATCCCAGGGATTAGTTGAGTAAACCTTCTCTTGAGCTGCTTCCAATGTATTAACATCCTTCCATAAGCACAGTGACCAGTACTGTATATAGTACTCCAGGTATGGTCTCATCATTGTATGACTGCAGCATAACCTCCCTACTCTTGTGTCTAACTTCCCTCACAATAAACCATCACATTCTATGAGCTTTCCTGATTACCTGCAGACTGACCTTTGGTGATTCATGCACTAGGACATCCTGATCCCTCTGCATCTCAAAGCTCTGCAACCTCTCACCATCTAGGTAATATGCTTCTTTTTTTAAGTCTTTCTGCCAAAATGGGTAATTTCACACTTTCCCACATCGTACATCATGTGCTAGATTTTTGTTCACTCACCGAACGTCTCTACATCCTTTTGTCAGTTCCTTATGTCTCCTTCATGGTTCACTTTCCAACCTATCAAATTTCACTTCCATACCTTCAACCCCATCCTCCAAATAATTTGTGTAACTTGTAAAGAGTTGAGGTCCCAGCACCGGCCCCTGAGGCACACCACTCATCATGACATCCTGCCAGTCTGGAAAAGAGCCATTTATTCCTGTTGGCCAGCCAATCTTCTCTCCGTGCCAATATGTTACCCTTTACAGCATGAGCTTTTATTTTCCCCAGTAACCTTTGATGTGGCAACTTGTCAAACTCCTCTTCATCTCTGTCTTAAATATGCAACCACTTAGATGATGCCCTCTGGTCCTAGACTGTGCCCCAAGGGCAAAAAACCTCTCTGCATCTACCCTGTGAAGTTGCCTGCGAGCTAGGGATGTGGATTGATGGCGACTATGGGAGAGAAGGAAGAGCAGTCATTGCAGGGGATTTGTTGGTTATAGCTGGCTAGCTAATAGCAACGACACTGCAGAGGTGTTGGAGGCAGATGGTGTGGCCTTGTCTGCACTGGTGCTTCATTGTCTACAGCACAGACAATACAGTAATACTGCAGAGTAATAGGCAATAAAGTAATACTGGGATGGACCAGCCAGAAGACAAGAGAGTTACATAGGAGCAAGAGTATGCCCTTGAGCCTGTTCCACATTCAGTGAGATCACAGCTGATCTGTGGCCTAACTCCATTTCCTGACTTTGGTCCATATCCCTTAGTACCTTTGCTTAACAAAAATGTATCTGTCTCAGAGTTAAAGTTAACAACTGATCCAGCATGCACTGATTTTTGTGGAAGAGAGTTCCAAACATCTGTCTCATTCATCCATGCCGACCAAGTTTCCCAAACTAAACGAGTCCCACTTGCCTGCGTTTGGCCCTCTGAACCTTTCCTATTCATGTACCTGTCAAATTCTTTTAAATGTTGTATCTGTACCTGCATCTGCCACTTCTTCTGGTAGTTCATCCCACAAATGAACCGTTCTCTGTGTGAAAACATTGCCCCTTGGGTCCCTTTTAAATCTTTCTCCTCTCACCTTAAGAATCTGTCCTCTAGTTTTGAACTCAACCACCCCAGGGAAAAGACTTTTGCTATTCACCTTATCTAAGGGTCTGTTTCGGTGCTGTATGACTCCATGTCTCTTTGTGTGTAGAAGTACTTCCTAACATCTCTCCTGAACAGTCTGGCCCTAATTCTCAGACTATGTACCCCAGTTCTAGAACCCCCCACCAGGGGAAATAATTTACCTGTGTCTACTGTCTTTTAGTGTTGATACCTTGAAGATTTCAATCACATTATCCCTTAACCTTCTAAATTCCAGAGAATATAGGCCTAAATTATGTAATATCACCTTTTCTTTGATCTATTTGTTTGTAGGATGTGGGTGTTGCTGACTGGGCCAGCATTTATTGCCCGTCCCTAGTCACCCTTGAGAAGGTGGTAGTGAGCTGCCTTTTTGAAACGCTGCAGTCCACCCTGCTCGTAGCTTAATTCCTGAAGTCCAGATATCATTCATATAAATCTATGTTGTACTCCCTCCAAGGCCATTCTGTCCTTCCTAAGGTGTGGTGCCCAGTTTCAGTGGCTGAGGGACGGAGGTTAAAACAGGCAGGAGATTTTGTGATTGAGGGGAAGGATGCAGGGGCTGGAATATTGACAACGGGTCAATGGGAGACTAGTACAATGAACAGTTTAGTGCACTGTGAATTATCGAAGAGTGTTACAAACACAGTGTCATCTGTTCTTCAGCATATTACATCACTCCAGCACTTGCTGTTGTGTTTCAGTTCTCCAGCGTTTGTTAAAACAGTTTAGCAGCTATCATGTATCATGGCGCATCATGGCATTGCTTTGGTGACAGCAGACTCCTCCACTGCCCAAAAATAAATGTCTCAAGTAATAGCCCATGTTTCAGCATGGAGTCATAGATGCCTGCAGCACAGAAAAAGGCCATTTGGCCCATTGAGTCTACAGTTGTCGCATAGGCACAAGGATGATCTGCGTCAGCCTAAGACAGCAGCTAGTGAGGTCAGAAAATGAGCAGCTTCAGCAGTCCCTGCTGAGCCGTAATGTTGGAAAATCAGGTGATGCATGGAAGATTATTCAGCCTGCCATGCCTGACTCAGCTCTTTGAAAGAACTAACTACGTAAATTAACTCCCTCATGCGTTTTCCACAGCCCTGTACATTTTACAATAAAGAGGTGATTGCTAAGGGATAGGTGCTGGGTCCACTTTTGATGATAATTTACATAAATGATTTGGATGAGAATACAGGTGGCAATGTTAGTTAGTTTGCAGATGAGACCAAAATTGGTGGTACAGTGGACGTTGAAGAAGGTTATCTAAGATTGCAAAGAGATCTTGATCAATTGGATCAATGGGCTGAGGAGTGGCAGATGGAATTTAATTTGGATAAATGCGAACTATTGCATTTTAGTACAAAAAACAAGGGTAGGGCTTATTCAGTTAATGGTAGGGCATTGGGTAGTGTTGTAGAGCAGAGGGACCTAGAGATTCAGGTATATAATTCTTTGAAGTTTGCATCACATATAGACAGGGTGGTTAAAAAGGCATTTAGCACGCTTGCCTTCATTGCTCAGTCCTTTGAGTGTAGGAGTTGGGAAGTCATGTTGAGGTTGTACAGGACATTGGTGAGGCCTCTTCTGGAATACTGCGTCCAGTTCTAGTCACCCAGATGTAGGAAAGATATAATTAAGCTGGAGAAAGTTCAGAATAGATTTATCAGGATGTTGCTGGATATGGAAGGTTTGAGTTACAAAGAAAAGCTGGATAGGCTGGGACCTTTTTTCACTGGAGCATTGGAGGTTGAGAGCTGACCTTATAGAATTTTATAAAATAATGAGGGGTATAGATAGAGTTAATGGTAGTTGCCTTTTCCCTAGGATAGCGGATTTCAAGACTAGAGGATACATTTTTAAGGTGGGAGAAGACAGATTTAAAAAGACATGAGGGGAAACTTTTTTTCACAGAGTGGTTCATTTGTGGAATGAACCTCCAGAGGAAGTGGTGGATGTGGGTACAATTACAATGTTTAAAAGACATTTGGAGAAGTACATGAGTAGGAAAGGTTTGGAGGGATATGGGCCGGGAGAAGGCAGGTGGGACTAGTTCGGTTTGGGATTATGTTCGGCATGGACTGGTTGGACCGAAGGGTCTGTTTCCGTGCTGTATGACTCTATCTGACAATAAGAAAACTTAACCTGGGAGTGTCTGGTGGGGCCGTGTAGAGGCAGTTTTATTCCCTATCTTATCCCATGCTGTCCTTGTTCTGGAAATGTCTGATGGGGATTGTGTAAAGGGAGCTTTTAAATAGTTATGGAAAAGGGTAGAACTGATCAAAAAGTTAAAGTTCTAAATTGGAGTAAGACCAATTTTGACGGTATTAGACAGGAACTTTCAAAAATTGACTGGGGGAGGCTGTTCACAGGTAAAGTGGTGGTTGGGAAGTTGGAGACCTTTAAGAATGAGAGAACAACAGTTCAGAGATAGCATGTTCCTGTTAGCGCAAAGTGCTAGGCTGGTAGGTGTAGGGAATACTGGATGACCAGAGAAATTGAGGCCCTGGTGTAGAAAACGAAGGAAGCCTATGTCAGGTGTACACAGCTGGGATCGAGTGAATCCCTAGAGGAGTATAAAGGCAGTAGGAGTATACTTAAGAGGGAAATCAGGAGGGCAAAAAGGGGCCATAAGATAACTCTATTTGCGAAAGGTAAGGAGAATTCAAAGAGATTCTGTAAGTACATTAAGGGCAAAAGAGCAACTAGGGAGAGAATTGGGCCCCCTAAAGATCAGCAATGCTGTCTATGTGTGGAACCATAGGAGATGGGTAAGATACTAAATGAGTATTTCATGTCAGTATTTACTGTACTAGAGAAGCTAGAGAACTTGGAGAAATAAATTGTAATATCTTGAAAAGTTTCCATATTACAGAGGAGGTGGTGCTGGACATCTTAAAATACATAGTGGTGGATAAATCCCTGAGACCTGATCAGGTGTCACCCTGAACTGTGTGGGAAGCTGGGGAAGAGATTGCTGGGCCCCTTGTTGAGATATTTGTATCATTGATAGCCATAGGTGAGGTACCAGAAGACTGGCTAATATGGTGCCATTATTTAAGAAAGGTGGTAAAGAAAATCTAAGGAATGAGAGACTGATGAGCCTGACATTGGTGGTGGGTAAGTTGGAGGGGGTTCTGAGGGACAGGATTTACATGTATTTGGAAAGGTATGGACTGATTAGGGATAGTCAACATGGCTTTGTGCGTGGGAAATCATTTCTCACCAACTTGGTTGAGACCGAAGAGGTGACAAAGATCGATGAAGACAGAATGTTGAAGTCCATATGGACAGTGTCTACCAAAGTGTTCAACAAGGTTCTGCATGGTAGGCACGGTTAGATCACATGGGATCCAGGGGGATCTAGCCAATTGTATACAAAATTGGCTTGAAGGTAGGCAACAGAGGGTGGTGTAGAGGTTCCCTTTCAGACTGGAGGCCTGTGACCCAGCGGTGTGCCACAGGATCAGAGCTGGGTCCACTGCTTTTTGTCATTTATATAAATGATTTGGATGTGAGTATAGGAGGTCTGGTTAGTAAGTTTGCAGATGACACCAAAATTGGAGGTGTAGTGGACAGTGAAGAAGATTATCTCTGAGTACACCAGGACCTTGATCATATGGGCCAATGGGCCAAGAAATGGCAGATGGAGTTTAATTTAGATAAATTAAAGGTGCTGCATTTTGGTCAGGCAAATCAGGGCAGGACTTATACAAGTAATGAGAGGACGCTAAGGAGTGTTGCCGAACACAGAGACCTAAACATACAGGTTCATAGTTCCTTGAAAGTGGAGTCACAGGTAGATAGGATAGTGAAGAAGGCATTTGGTATGCTTGCCTTTTTTGGTCAAAGCACTGAGTTGGGACATCATGTTGCAGTTGTACAGGACATTGGATGAAGCCTCTTTTGGAATACTGGGTACATTTCTGGTCTTCCTGCGATAGGAAAAATGTTGTTAAACTTGAAAGGGTTCAGAAAAGGTTTACAAGGATGTTGCCAGGACTGGAGGGCTTAAATTATAGGGAGAGGATGAATAGACTAGAGCTATTTTCCCTGGAGCATTGGAGGCTGAGGGGTGACCTTATAGAGGTTTATAAAATCATGAGGGGCATGGATAGGGTGAATAGCCAAACTCTTTTTCCCAGGGTAGGGGAGTCCAAGATAGGAAAAATTTAATGTGAGAGGGGAAAGATTTAAAAGGGAACTTTTTTCACACAGAGGGTAGTGTGTGTATGGAATGAGCTGCCAGAGGAAGTGGTGGAGGCTGGTACAGTTACAACATTTAAAAGGTATCTAGGTGGTTACATGAATAGGAAGGGTTTAGTGCTGTATGACTCTATACTCTGTATCTAACCCCATGCTGTCCCTCTCCTGGGAGCTTTTGATGGGGGAGAGAATAGAGAGAGCTTTACTCTGTCTCTAACCCCATTCTGTCCCTGTGCTGGGAGTGTTGATGGTCTGTATGGGTTAAGGTTATGGGTGTCCTGATTCTGACCTAACCCTATACATTGCTGACATTGTTGAACTGTTTTGGAATACACTCACTGTGTTGAGTTCTGTTAGTGATGAGTGATTTCTCCTTCCTTACAGTTCGGCAGTTATTGGAGGTTGGAATAGCCCCAGACTTGTATAATGAAGATGGTTTAACTGCACTGCATCAGGTAAGTGAGACATCCTGGAGCTCTGTCTGCCAAAGCTTGTGCCACTATGTCACCAGTCTCCGTGTACTGCTGCGTCTGAGCACTCTGAGTGTAACCTTCCATTGTACAGCTTCTCTGAACATCTCCTACTAGAAACTGAATTGAGTTCTCAGCTCAGCCACCTGCGTGGTATCAATTCCAGGAAACTCTGGGGCCTCAGGTTGACTCTTGTACTGCTAAAAGAGGCCATTCAGCTCATCGTGCGTATCATAGCTCTTTGAAAAATAGTTTCCAGTAACCTCATTGCTGTGTTTCGTCCTGCCCCACAAATGCCTCCTTTTCAAGAGTCTTCATTGTCAGCTCCCACCTGCCTCTCTGTAGGTGTCACCCTTGAACTGTGAATTCCTGCCACAGGTTTCTGTGTGACTGAACAGGCCAACACTCAACTCACAGACCCTTGGGTGTATGGGGCAGGACGGGGAGGCGATGGCCAAGTAGTATTGTCACTGGACTGTTAATCCAGAGACCCAGATAATGTTCCGGGGACCCAGGTTTGAATCCCGCCACAGCAGATTGTGGAATTTGAATTCAATAAAATATATGGAATTAAGAATCTAATAATGACCGTGAATCCATTGTCGATTGTAGGAAAAACGCATCTGGTTCACTAATGTCCTTTAGGGAAGGAAACTGCCATCCTTACCTGGTCTGGCCTACATGTGACTCCAGACCCACAGCAATGTGATTGATTCTGAACTGCCCTCTGGGCAATTAGGAATGGGCAATAAATGTGGTCAGTGATGGCCTCGTCCGTTGAATGCATAAAGAAAAATAAAATCAGTGAGGTAGTGGGACTGAGAGTGCAGGAACTAATACCCTTCCTATAACTGGGCAACCAGTTAAAGGAAGGATATTATTAAGGATAATAAGGGTTCAAAAGAGATTTACCAAGATGATGCTGGGTATGGAAGGATTGAAGCTATGAAGAGAGGTTGAGTAGATTAGGATTGTTTACATTAGAAAGATGGAGGTTGAGGGGGGACCTGATTGAGGCCTACAAAATCATGAGAGGTATAGACAGGGTGGATAGCAAGAAGCTTTTTCCCAGAGTGGGGAACTCAATTACTAGGGATCACAATTTCAAGGTGAGAGGGGACAAGTATAAGGGAGATATGCGTGGAAAGTTCTTTACGCAGAGGGTGGTAGGTGCCTGGAACATGTTGCCAGCGGAGGTGGTAGAGGCAGGCACAATAGCATCATTTAAGATGTATCTAGACAGATACATGAATGGGCAGGGAGCAGAGGGATACAGATCCTTGGAAAATAGGTGACAGGTTTAGATAGATGATCTGGATTGGCACAGGCTTGGAGGGCCGAAGGGTCTGTTCCTGTGCTGTAATTTTCTTTGTTCTTGTTCTTTGTTCTTTGTTTGAGTTATAAAGAAATACTGGATAGGCTGGGACTTTTTTTCTCTAGAGCGTAGGAGGTTGAGATGTGACTGGATAGAAGTTTATAAAATAACGAAAGGTATAGATAGGGTTAATGGTAGTTGTCTTTTCCATAGGGTGCGGGATTTCAAGACTGGGGGGCACATTTTTAAGGTGAGAGGAGAGAGATTTTAAAAAAGACATGAGGGACAAATTTTTTACACAGGGTGATTTGTGTGTGAAATGAACTTCCTGAGGATGTGGATGTGGGTACAATTACAATGTTTAAAAGACATTTGGACAGATACATGAATAAACAAAGTTTGGAGAGACACCGGGCCAGGAGCAGGCAGGTGGGACTAGTTCAGTTTGGGATTATGTTCAGCATGGAGTGGTTGGACCGAAGGGTCTGTTTCTGTGCTGTATGACTCTGACTCTGTAACTACATCCTCATCTTTGCTTCTCCTGGGACACTCTGTCTCAATATTCAGACATTTGGGCTCAGAGTGTAAAACTCTTTTGATGGACAAGTGGTGACCATTACTCATTAGTAGTCATTACTGTCAAAGCAGCGAGAATGTCAGAGTGCCTTTGTACTGTTCGCTTTGTCCTGTTCTGGAACATGAGACAGCTGAGTGAACAGGACGGGACAGGGATAGTAGGAACTGCAGATGCTGGAGAATCCGAGACAACAAGGTGCAGAGCTGGATGAACACAGCAGGCCAAGCAGCATCAGAGGAGCAGAAAGGCTGACGTTTCGGGCCTAGACCCTTCTTCAGAAATGGGGGAGGGGAGGGGGGGTTCTGAAATAAATAGGGAGAGAGGGGGAGGTGGATAGAAGATGGATAGAGGAGAGGACAGGTGGAGAGGAAACAAACAGGTCGAAGAGGTGGGGATAGAGCCAGTAAAGGTGAGTGTAGGTGGGGAGTTAGGGAGGGGATAGGTCAGTCCAGGGAGGACAGACAGGACAAGGGGGTGGGATGAGGTTAGTAGGTAGGAGATGGGGGTGCGGCTTGAGGTGGGAGGAGGGGAGAGGTGGGAGGAAGAACAGGTTAGGAAGGCGGGGACGAGCTGGACTGGTTTTAGGATGCGGTAGGGGGAGGGGAGATTTTGAAGCTTGTGAAATCCACATTGATACCATTGGGCTGCAGGGTTCCCAAGCGGAATATGAGTTGCTGTTCCTGCAACCTTCGGGTGGCATCGTTGTGGCACTGCAGGAGGCCCAGGATGGATATGTCGTCTGAGGAATGGGAGGGGGAGTTGAAATAGTTCGCGACTGGGAGGTGCAGTTGTTTATTGCGAACTGAGCGTAGGTTTCTGCAAAGCGGTCCCCGAGCCTCCGCTTGGTTTCCCTGATGTAGAGGAGGCCACAACGGGTACAGCGGATGTAGTATACCACATTGGCAGATGTGCAGGTGAACATCTGCTTGATGTGGAAAGTCTTCTTGGGGCCTGGGATGGGGGTGAGGGGGGAGGTATGGGGGCAGGTGTAGCACTTCCTGCGGTTGCAGGGAAAAGTGCCGGGTGTGGTGGAGCTGGAGGGGAGTGTGGAGTGGACAAGGGAGTCACGGAGAGAGTGGTCCCTCCGGAAAGCAGATAAAGGTGGGGAGGGAAAGATGTCTTTGGTGGTGGGGTCGGATGGCAGATGGCGGAAGTGTCGGAGGATGATGCGTTGGAACGTGAGGACGAGGGGGATTCTTTTTTGGTTCTTATTGCGTGG